CGGTTCGATCTCGGGGTTTTCGGATCTGGTCGTCGACAATGGAATTAGGGTTTCGGAAGTTGTTAGACCGGGAGTGGGATTCAAGGCCCGGAGTTCGTCTTTTGATAATGACAAAGAAAGCGTTGATGATCAGGAAGAACAGGACGGAAGACTTGGAGGGGAAAATGTGAATCAGGATATGGATAGGCTTGTAGATTTGCAATTTTTCGTTAAGGGGCTGGAACTTGGTCGTCGGGACGCTGCAGCTTTGTTCTTCTTTGTGAGTTTTTTGTCTGCTGCCTATATCTGGGTGATGCTTGGCTTTCTTGTTACGTATTCATGGGCTTCGGGCATTGTGTTCATCGCAGTTCTTAATGATCTAATGGAGAGGTTTGGTTCATTTGTTGGTATGGTATGGGATGGGTCAAGATTGGGTTTCAAGAGGCTTTCTGGGTTCATCTTGATGAGATGGGCTGTGAGAGATGCGCTAACTCAACTCCTTGGGTTGTGGTATTTTGGTGAAATCGAAGATCAATATTCATTCTTCAAGCTATTCGTGAGGTTGAAATTGATGCCATTCTCCATAATGTCTCCATGGATTCGTGGTTATGAAAAAGAAATCTCTGGGTTTCTCTTTGCCTGGTTTTTGCTAGATACTCTTGTTGCGTTCGTCTTTGCTGTAGATGCTTGGGTTGTAATTGTGGATGCTAGGCGGACTGGTAGGGAGATCCTGAAGGAAGGTTGTTATTTGATATTGACAATGTTAAACCAGGCTATTCAAATAAAGTGCTTGGAAGCCATCTGTTGTGGCTCTTTCATGAGATGGGCTCTTGCTCGAGTTTGCGGAAAACATGTCGCCATGTTTTTTCAGTCTGTGGGAGAGGTCTATTTCATGGTGGTTTGGCTTATCTTCTACTTTGCTGCTAGGTGTAGAGATGCCAAAGTGCAGGGGCTGAGGTTTGGTCGAAGAGAGCTCGAGGGTTTGATTGAGGGGGTTGGATAATGGTGGATTGGTGGCTTTACAGGGGCAAGTTGCTTAACGCAAAGGAAAGTTACTGGTAATTTTTCATTGCTCTGTGCTGCCTATTTTGCATTTCCAGATATCCAGCCGTACTTGCTTCTGTAGTATCACGAGCAATGTTCTCTGTATGTACCTTCTTTCTAGGCTTCATGCTACTTGTAACTTGTGTATATTTTACATCAGAATACTTGACATGAATCAAATCCGTCCCAGTGGGATGCCTTGCTGACATATCTGTTTTCTGGTGGTAAAAAAGAAATTTAGGACTGTCGTGAGAATCTGCTCTGTAGATAAACCTATAGGTCTGTTTTATCATTTTCATTCCATTTAGTATGCTAGATTGGACTACATAGGTTCTAATACGGGAAAGCATAGATTTTTTAATTTTCTGGTGGCCTTCTTAGTTTTGATCACTTAAATTTATATCTTAAATAATATATCTGGTCATGACAATTGTCAAAGAAAACTGTGTAAAAGTTGTAAACACTAAAAACAAAATTACTAGTTATGTGTTTATATCTGAACTAGAAGAAGCAATTGATATGACCAGAAAGTTAGAATGGATGAAATCTTCTCTTTCTGTGTGGACAATCATTGAAGACTAAAGTCGGTTTTTTTTTTTTTTTAATGGGTCTGTTACTTTAAGAATCAAAGATTGAGTTTATGCCGAGGTTGGTTAATCATCTGAGCCATGTAAAGCGAGTAATGTTTTTTATGTGCTGTTTCTGCTAAAGTAAAAACTAGAAACTGAGGTTTAAGTCTCAACCAAATTAATTTGGGAGGATGGGAAGTGTGGTCCTTTTCCTTTTTTCCTTCATTTTACAAATATAAATCATCTGAATTGAAAATTTTRACACCTTACAGTATCTCGTACAGAGTTCCTTCAGCCAGAGTTTGACTGGACTACCTTTGCCTGAAAGTAGAGAACTTAACCATAATCTCTGCCATAATTGTAAATTTACCTTACCCCTGCTACTTAAAGTACTTTAATGTAATAAATGTATGTTTCTTCTGCAGAAGACAAAATTTACCACATCCAGATTGAGAAATAGCTCAATAGTTTCCAGTGGGGGTGGGGGTGGGATGGAGGAGAGGGTAAACTGGTCGACTTTGGGCGAAAACTGAAGCCAAATCAACATATTGGTTTAAGAAAGAAAAACTGAATTTTTTGAAAATTGAACCGCCCGCTGACAAAATGGTGATCGCAACTGTTCGATTACTTTTCAGATTCATAATTTAGCTAATCGAATGACTAACAAATATGGTTCAAGCCAACAAAACCGACTTGATTTGGTTGGTTTTCTCAATTTCGACCTGCACTCTTAATTTCTAGTAGATTTTTCTTTATTCTTTTGTTATTTTGGAAGAGTAAAATAGGATAGAAAGACTGAGGAGTGAATCATAGACAGAAAATTTAAATGTATTCAAGTGGAAGGTTTGAATTTGTATGAATTCTCACCATCTAAGCCACATGTGGGTGTAGAAACATTGGCGAGGGGTACAAGAAATGGTTCGTTTTGCTCAACCAACCATTTTGATTTTCAGCACCTTTCTGATGCAATCTGACGTATTACAGCATGGTCTACATTTCATCGTACATGAACTTGGGAAAGAAAAAAGTCAGATATTTTTTCAACCTTTAAAATCACTATGTATGGTGTGTGGCTTGATTTGCATGGAATCTTGCAAATTAAACCATTTTTTAAGATGCCATTTTTATTTAATCATTTGGGATTATTGTGGACGTTATTATCAAAGTGATTGAGAACTGTTTGTACAAAATAAACATATCCCCAGTCCTGTTCTTCACATGTTTTTATCATGTTACCCTTTCTACTCTCTTCTTTCCTGTTCAGACAGAAGTTTTAGAGGTTGTTTTCGTCATGGACAATCAAGGGATGAATATTCAAATTATAATGTTGACTTTGTTGTGCTTAAGATATTGAGTCTACGTATTTTTATGCTTGAATTTGTGAAATTGTTGTGGTCTTTTTCTTAATCAGTTTATTATGTAGCAATATTAAGATGTACTTATCCAACTTTTATCTCACTTGTGGCACCAATTGCACCTGTCCATTAGAACTCACAGTGCAGGTAGGACGAACACATTAGGCTCGATAGGGCACTCGCATTTTCTTTTACTTTTTTTTTTCTTTTTTTCTTTAATAGAAAAGTAGGATTAAGGTACCAAGCTCAGTAGGGTAGGTGCTCTTCCCTTGCAAGGTAGGATGGGCATACTTGGGCCTACAAGGACGGTTGGAGGGTCAACCCAAGTATGGTACCAAGACTGAGCTTGATTCTTCCATAGGTATAGCTTTCGATCTCCATCAATTTCTTGCCATCGGCTAATCGAGGAAGACACATGTTGGTGGACAAAGGTCACTGTACTTGACAACGATGTACTATAGCAATGGTGGAGTAATTATTACTCCCTTTTTATAAATGTACTAAGGGACCACTGTTGAGGTTATGTAATATTCTTTCTTGTGTTTAGTTCTACTCAGAATCTAACTCTGATTTGAATGGTGTTTGGCAGGCACCACATGGATACTCAATTTTTCTTCTATCTAGGTACTTTTGATTCTCCTATTCCCTCCTTGAACTTTTCCATTTATGTTTTATGTTAGCATTGGTGCTAATAACGAAAGAAGTTGCAGTTTAGGGGAAAAGATAATGCCAAAAGCACTTTAATGAAGAGCAGATCTAACCCGTAGAGAAGAGGTTTCTATAGGTGAGAAAAGCGGGGTTGGACGAATTTACATAGACCCAACGAGCCATGAACTCGTTCTAAAGTAAAGCACCTCAGAGAAAAGCAAACATGATTTTCGAGACGAGTAAGAGGACAATGGGAAAGAGCACTTTTGCACCTTAGGGGATGATAGGTAATAAGTTGCATTGGCCTAAAGATTATTCATTAGGACCATTAGACACCATAGTGCAGTGCTTCCCCTAACAACATAGAATGAGACAAAGTTTCTGTCATATTCTTGTAGAAATCTCCTCTTTTGAAACTAGCTTTACTCTAAACTTAAGCATTATAAGATAATTAACAACATTGGTACTCTGTTCTTCTCTTTTGCCATCCTTTTCTGCTATTTTTTCCCCTTTATCATTTCTATTTATGACGGTTAGACAGTACCGACATCACTCATACTGATAGTAGCATTTTGTCAAAGAGATTGAAAAATATGCCTAAAATATGCTCCTTAGACTATTAATATTTACGGCTTTTCTCCAATTCCCACGTTTCATTCACACCTTTGAATAGTTCCAAGTACTTTCATAAATGGTACTCATTAAGAACTATAAGTTCAGATTTCAATGTTAGATTAACATTTTTCTAGAATCAAATTGATGAGAATATTAAAAAAAAAAAAGAGTTGTTTTATGAGAATAAATATTGTTTAATTTAATACCTAAAACTAATTATCGATCAACGAAAACATGGGGATGATTGAAATTTGTTCCTTTTTTTTAGTACGACTGAAATATGTTAATTTCATTCATGGATAAATACTACAATCCGGACTTAATATAATCTATCACTTTCGAACGTTTATAAAAGATTCCTCAGACAAATACCATAATTGTACCTTCTTAGGTATTAAAATACTTTTAAACTAGAATTGTAAGTTCTCAAGACAAAATACTGAATACATATCTTTAAAACACGGCTTTTTTACTTCCTTAAAAAAAAAAAAAACTAAACCAAATTGACATAAAGCCAAAGTTATTTTAAATACTTACATACATCAATAGAACTGAGATTTTTGTACTAAAAAAATAAAAAAATAAAACTGAGATTTTAAGGCCGGTTTGATGTGCAATCCTATTTTGTGTCGTTTTCAAATTGAGTTGTTTACTTGGCAGATTTATTTTTAAAAACCATCCAACTAATAAAAATTCTAAAAAAAACTTTATGTTTTCAAATTTTGAATGTGAAATTTTAAAATAGAAAATTTCATTAAAAAGGTTAAGTTTGATAAATACTATTTCATGTTATAATTTATAAACTTACTTATTTTGTTAAAATTTAAATATGTGAAGCATAATATATTATAAATTATATAATATTATAAAATAATAATTATGTGAAATTTATAACATATATATCAACTAATAATATTTTAGACTGAACTAAATATATAATTGGTAACTAATAGTAGTCTACAAATATATTGCTAAACACACCTAGAACAATTTTTCTAAACACTGAAAACATGAAATAAAAAAAAATATTAAATCCCTTGTTTTCAAATTACCCACCAAACGCAAACTAGTTATTTTAAAATACTTGTACAAAATAAAAATGAGATATTTACATTACCCACGATATCCTTGCCATGTAATTGTTTGAGATATTTACATTACATTTTACAATGTAAATTACTCAAGAAATGTACCTTATAAAACCCCATCTCAGATTGGATAGTAAGAGGCTACCGCTGCTCTGCAAGAGTCATGGAAAACTACTTTGTAATCCATTATTGCAACCTGCAATTACCTTAATTAACATAATTATTAGAGAATTAAAAACAATTTGGGTAACTAATCAAACTAACAACTCTTAGGATAGGGTCAGTCACATGAAACCAGTAATTCAAGCACAAAGGCTATAATACCTAAGTACCATTTCCTTCTAAGATTAATCCCAGGTATCATTTTTCATCCTTACACCAGACAAAACTTGTTACCCAAGAAGAACATCTTTGAGTTTTGACATAATCAAGACAGGCAGAGACCGTTTCACCCTTTTACTTCTGTGTTCTGGTGCTGGTACCATCTGGTATCATAGTCAATGATAGTTTCCTCGTTTAATCGCCAGTTGCCGATAAGCCTCGAATCTTAACATCATAGTATACTTCTTCAACTCTTCGCAAGTCATACTTCATGCCTATTGCGATGACGACATGATTCATATGAGAAGATGAAATGCAAAAATAACAACAAAATTGAAAAAGGAAAAAAATATGGGAGTGAAGAGTATACCATCAAATTTCTTGCGGAGAAAATCGTTGCGAAGATTAAGCATACGGAAGGCTGCGTGAAGATCGGTAAAAAACTTGAGCACCTTTCTTGGACAATCATAGTCTCCGACTGTCACTTGGTTGACAACATACCGTGGCTACAAATAGAGTTGACGCAAAATTTTATTACAATAGATAAATGCGAACAACAAGATAAATACCAACTCAAATGGAATATCTCCTTCATTCAATATTAAGTAAATTTTTTGTAAACATATGTTCATTTTTTTCCAAGTTATAGAATCAAAATCAATACTAATTCTGAAAATTCTCACCAATTCATTGGACATGAAACATATGCCTGCAAAATTAATACAAATAACCAGATTAGAAGAAACTCATAATAGTTATCAAGTTGTTGAAGAATGCATGAACAGACAGCATACTGGACCAGAAATACAGAGCACAGTTGAATGGATTGTGAACACAAAACTCTAACATGAACTACCAATTCATCATCAAACTAACATAGGTCTGTGTATGGTGCTCTTTATTGTATCAATCGCATTAAGAATAAAAGCTAGCATTGGAACTATGATAACATGCCATTAAGATGCTAGGTTTTTCTTTTTTATCAGTATAAGGATCACGAAAACCGGTTTTTTTCATTCTTTTTGAAACTATGTACGCATAGGAAAGATTGAGAAAAAGGGTGACAAGCTTCTGCCAACAAAAACAAAGAAATGACAGTTTCTTTCCATCCCGGAAATACCACTGGTTTGCAAAACAAACATGGAAATCAAAAGCAAACAATGTTGTCAAGTCACAAGACATGGTGACTAGCTCCTTGCTTCCCTAGAGGCCTATGTATAAAAAGCATTGAAATAGTAAAGCAACATGAACGATGTAAAATAAAAAGTTATGGTTACATATTGAAAATAAAAAATATGAATTACATTATAACATAAAATGAAATATAAAATTGGGCAAATAAGTTTGTACGTGGTACAAATACTTCAATGCCACAATTTTCAAGAGACAATGAATGAAAAGAAAATTTAGCCAAAGATCCTATTCACAGAGGTGAAAAGGTGATAAAAAGGCAACTCCAAAGCAACAAAAAGGCAACCGATAGACAACCAAGGCAATCCACTTCAGTGAAAGTGCTTGCCAGAGATATCACATAACAGTCAGGCGCACCACATCACCCTTGCTAAAGTTAGGCATAGGCTTGCCTTGAGAACACTGAAATCAATATAATATCAACGTCACACTGAACCTTGAAGTAAGAAATATACGAACAGCTGAAAACTCACCAATAAGATAGTCTTCAACATCCAAACTGAAATCAGATTCATTTACTGCAAATAGACCAAAAAATATAATGAGTTAATTTCCAAGTTTGTCATTTCAGAGTAGATTTAAGGTAGGCATAGCATAACGAGATAACGAACATTAATTAACAACAGATGGTGAAATGCATAAGATTAAGAGGTAGAAACACACGCATGTGGCAATCAGTTCCCCCTCTGTACCATACTGGTGGAAACATTGATATCGAGACCAATGATTGGAGAAAAGGATGCATTGGCATGTTAAAGTAAATATTGAGGTGAAATATGCAAAATAGTAATAACTATCATGACAGTAAGCCTTTTTGGGGGCAAATTCATAATAACACCAACATAGAAAAAGTAAAGTAATGGTGAATTTCCAGATAGGCTTATGAGTTAGGCCAAAGGAATGGCAGTCATTTTGGGCGAGGAAAAAAAACTAAATTTATCTCAATTCTCAACGAGGATAGATAGTAATTAAACCAAACCCCAAATTTCTTCTACAAATATTAATTTGAGATGTTCTAGATTTCTTTTAGATCAGAAAAAATGAATAATAGAAGGCGATACTTTAAGAACTGCTCTAGTAATCTAGGTATGGAACACATAAAATATTGTGCATCCTTTTGCAACTACAGTCCAGTCAACCTCCAGAAGACCTGTATCTAAATTCTAATCAGTTTGAGAATTGAGTACAATCCTAAACTGTACTGTTTAAGAGGGTGTCATGTACCTCCAGAAAATTATGAAGACATCACAAAATTGATGGTTGCTTCAAATGGTTTTAGTTGCATAGGCAATCTTGTGAATAAAAATTACCTGCAAAAAAATCTCCCTACGACTGCACAATCTAGTCGAAGGATTGAGCATGATGTAGAAGAGCCGGTAACGGTGCAGTCGTGGAAGAACGAGTAAACCCATATACTCAGTTCTGTTCTATAGGTTCTACAGGGTTTGAACATTAATGTAATCAGATCATAGTGTAGAATATGATCGTGATGTTATGTTAGGTCAATCATAAAACAACTTCAGAAGAGAGACACCGCATCCTATTAGGTTCTTTAAATTACGATTAAGGTCAAATGTGAACAGAAAAAATACAAGAACAAAAAACATACACCCAAGTTTTTCCTCAGCTTCGGTGTGCAAAAGAAGTTCTCCTGTTTCTAGCCAATTAATAAAAGCAAGCTGCGAAACAGCGGTCTGCGTCTCACTCCTCCAGTCTCCATGATACCTAAATGAAGACGTAATGAATGCAATAGCTACTTGCAAAAAAGAAAATCCACAGAAAGCAACCAAGAAAAATGTCAACCATAACCAGTCACCTCACCTATAGTAGAGGCCAGGGCTTTCACGAAGAATTTCAGCAAGTCGCTTGTAGAGCGACTTTAGTAAACCAACCTGTGCTTTTGGCTTCTCAAGAACCTCTACACCAGAAAAGTCAGATATCAAAAACATTATTACGAGTCGATACGCTGAACAGAGGGAAACAGAACGAGAGAGAAAGTCCTCATTTCCCTCAAAAACCAAAAACTGCACACGACCACACGAGTATCATAGTACAACGCAGAGAAAAATTCAGTACCGGGAGTCAGACGAGACTGGTGAACCAGAAGCAAGCTGGCCTGCATAAGCCTCGTGGAAGACTCGATCTCCATTGCCACACTTCGAATGCGCTCGCGTAAGCTTCCAGAATCCTGAAGCTGGACTCTGAAATCCTCGAATTGCTTCTCCACCGAAGAGGGCGCCGCCTCGGCGCCACTGCCTGCCATGGAAGAGGAGAAGGAACAGAAAGACGAAGCAGGGGCCGAGCGGGAGCGATGCGCTTCAGGTTTGGTCTGCAATGGAAGGCGAGAAACGGTAATGGATGGAAGGGAATGGAGGCAAAGAATTAGGGGAATTGTGTTAGGGTTTCGAGTAGGGCTTAAGGAGTGAGAGAAAATGAAGTAAGCATTTCTAAGGGCTGAGCCCATCCTTCGGCGGCTCTCACAACTCACACGGAAACAATGAATGAAATAAATGAATGGAAGGGACTACGGTAGTTCCATGAAGTGGTTAAACATTTCGTTTCTTTCTTAGCAGTCGGAAGTTTAATCCTCGTTTTAATATTTTTCAAAGAATAATTACGATACAATAAAAATTTGATACGACTGTCACTTAGATGCATGTGTAAAAAATAAAAGTCATGTGTGCATCAAGTAAACGATAGGTTGGTAGAATCTAGGTCGTTACTATATTAAACTCTTGTTTTACTTTAACGATTCAACACATGTGGAATGGATTAGGTCGAGCTATTTGGAGCAAGGTGTAAAAATTTGACCTATAACTGTTATGTTAATGAATCATAATGGTATACTTATCTACGAAATTAAATGTCTACTTATAGGAGAAAGATGGTGAGTCTCATATCTCTAACAGTAGTTCCAAAGGGGCTCGAGCTCCTCTTACTTTGGAACGTTAATATCATATATAAAATTTGACATTGGTGCAATGAGTTTAACACTCAAGTCCCCTAAGTGTTCGGGGTTCGCGGTTGTATGCATGTGTTTTTTGTAATAAAATATGTTAACAAAATTTTTTACATATAAATATGTAAATTTTTTAGAAAAGGAAAAAAAAACTTACTATATAAATATATTTTTATTTTTATTTTTTATTCATTTAACATGTAAATTTGTTTCAAGTATATGGATATATAAATCTTTTAAAAAATGAAAAAAAAAAGTAAGCAATTTCTAAACGTCCAACCACCCCTATTTGTAATTAAGAGAAAATTTTCCTCATATAAACAATTCAACTTTTTAAAAAGTAAGAAAATAAAATATATACATCGGTGGAATATTTAAACTATTATTTTCTAAAATCAATACAATTTTAAATGGTCAGCTTATTTATATATATATGTTAATTTTTTTTATAATATATATGTATTGGTGTGATATTAAACTTTAAAAATGATCAGTGTTGTTTTAAAATTGAGGAGTTGTTTTTAATTGATTGAATATTTGGTCTGGTGGTATGATTTTCATTTAGGGTGTGAGAGGTCTTGAGTTCAATTCTTGGAATGTTCCAAATATCTTTTAGTTTCAGTTTCATATGGTAAATATAAATTTTATTTTTATCTTCAATTTCTACGTTCTCAATTATAATTAGCAGCATTTTTTCATTAATTATTTTAGTTTCTAGAGCTGTTAGTGGTAGTCCAAACTATTTCTTTGTGATTAGTTGGGTCAAAAGTCAAATCCCAAATAACACAATTTCATTTTAATTAGACAAATTTAAGTTAATATCATAAATTCAATAATTCAACTTTTTGGAGTGTATTTTCTTTTTAATTTCATTCTAAATATATTTTATCTTACTTTTAAATTTCAGTTTAATTTTAATTATTCTATCTTTCTAAAATATTTAATTTTTTACTACGTCTAAATTATACTATTATGTAAATAGTTATTTTAAATAACATATAAAATATTATAGTTTCACCGACCTTTTAAATTAATACATACATACTAGTTCATGCTCATATTTATTACATACAAAAACTTGTCTCATTCTTCTGTACATATAATAAACCCTTAATAATGTTATCAATTTCCACTAACTTTAAGTATTTTAATACAATCTCCTTTGATTATTGAATCTTACATCATCCATTTCCAAACATCTAAATCTTGCATTTAAAAATTTCTCAAAAAAAAAAAAAGAAAAGAAAAGAAAAATATCTTGCATTTCAAGGAGTAATTTTCTATCCTAATTTTCTATCCAAACTTTCCTTTCGTAACTATTATATTATCGAACTTTCCATTCGATGCCAATGCTTCTAAAAATGATTTGTCCACCGAATCATCAGTATTATCTCATTCTCAATACAATATTGGAAATATTTTAGGTTATATCATAAATATTATACATTTTTTTTCAACTATCACAAATATATTTTTAAATGTAATTGAGTATTGAATTTTTTAGTACAACACSTAGATGGAGTGAGATGGAGATTCGAACTCACAACTATGTTTCTTAATCAGTTGCTATGACCAGGTTGGCTAATTATAGTTATATTTAGTTCATATTGTTAACATCGTCAATAAACATACCCTAACTCTGTTTAATATATTGCATATGATCAACCTAATTTTATTTATTAGACATCGTATGTTGCATTTCGATAATAATGTTAACAATAGTGACGGTAAAATCATAATTCAGAGAGTGTAATTGACTTTTTTTTTGTGGTAAATTCAAATAAAATAAACACAATAGTTAAAACCATGTTTCGATATYTGAATATCCAAAAGGACTGTTTTAACATCTAAACCTAAAAAATAACATCAATTTCGTCCCTTTCAACCTATATGATTTAAATACACGCTCATTTTAATCATGGTTCTAAATATCCATCGACATGTCAACATTTCCATCCAGATGTCCATGTTTTCATAAGTTCGATATCAACATGAGAGGTAAATCGATATTTCCATCATGGTACAAGAAAATCGATAAAATATGAAAAATATCACCAAAATGTCACTAATATATACACAATTTTAACATTAATTTAGAAATAGGAAGATCTGTATTTATTAATTTACATATTTTTTACAATTTTTAAATTTTCTAATTCTTATAGAATATCTATCGACATTGACATTTTATCAATATTTCCATGGAATTGAGATCTCGACATCGACATTTAAAACATTGATTTTAACACATCAAGACCAAAATAATTATTTTTAGAATGTAAACTATTTATAATTAAACCTATTTTATTATCAAGGTATTAAATTTTCATCGACATATAGAGATTTTTATGTGTCAATACCTTCTACATTGTAAATCAACATAATCCACAAAGTATATAAAATATCAACAAAATATTTGTGATATACCCATAATATTAATATTAATTATTTTCAACCCATTTAAATAGATTAAAATATTTATTTGCCGATTTAAATATTTTCAACTAAAAATATACAGATAGTTAGATCGATTTTGAAATTTAAAATCTGGTTTATTGTTGGAATTAGTTCTCCTTGAAAGTACAATAATTATGAATAATTAAAAAAAAAAAAAGTACTGCATCATCTTCTTCCTCTTGTGGTTGGGCATTGTGATGAGGCGTGACGTCAGTTTTTAGCAGTGGGGACCTTTGGGCCTATGATGGAATTTGAAGCAAAAGGCATATTGTTTTTTCCCCTAATAAACAAATCAATATTCAATCACAATCGCATTCGCAGCCGTTTGATTTTCCCAAATCCAATCTCGCCCGTAAAATCCACCCTCTCAATCAACACCCATTGTCATCGTTTCTTAAACTACAATAAATCCCACTCTCGGAATTGCAGTCCGTTCAAGAAGTTTGTGCGTTGTTTTTTTAAACTGGGCACCGCCCATAGCCACTTTCTCGGCGTTTGAACGGCGTCGTAAGGGCAACTGTAGAATATGAATGCCATGATTCGCGACTGTTTCTTTTGTATTTCTCTTTTCTGCCCATTTTCGGCTTCAATCCGTTCTCCGATATCGGGGGTGTTTCTTAACTTTCTGTAATTCCACTTATTTTTCCTGTACTGCCCACCTTGTTGAGACGGAGGTTCGTTCGTGTTTTTGATCGTACTGGGTGTGAATTGAAGGTAGTTTGTTGGTGAAAATTAAACGAACATGCTTGGATTGTTCTCGGAACTCGTTTTGTTCATTGAATTACGATAAATTATTGCTACGTATCTGTTCTTAAGTACTCATTTCTTGAAATAAGTTGAAATTCTGATCTCAGAGTAGAGTCTCGTTTGTTTTGATTTGTTAATGCACTGAATATGGGAAAACTTGTTTGTTTGTATGTATCTAGATGGGTTATGAATCGGAGGATGTCATTCGGTGGGGTCTTCGTCTTTTTGATGGTGATTCAGCTTTTAATTCTGGGTATTACGGTGAGACGACAGCGGTGGATGATCATTATCCTGGGAATTATTACAGAGATCATTACAATTTAGAATCCACTTGTGTGGAGAATGATGAGATTATTGCACGAACTCTTCAAGAAAACTTGACACAGTTATCAATTGCAGAGTCCTCTGGATGCCCAATTGAAAGAGAGGAGCAATTGCAAGCATCCATTTACACAACTGATTGGCATAATCAATTTCAGAGGAATAACAGTTCAGGTATTCAATATGCCTTTTAATTCCAGTATTCCTCTCAGACTTGTGTAGCTAATTTACTTTTCACTGCAGAGAGTATTTCTGTTGAGGAAGATGCTGAAACTCGGGATCCTTCTAGTTCATGTTCTAGTCCTGGGGATGAGGACTTCTTGTATTCCCATGAAGTTGATGGTGAAGAATTCTGGAGATTCAATCAAATGATTCCTGTTCCTGTAGGTTTAAATATATAAAGTACCTTCTCTTCACACCGAATCCATTTCTTGCACACTCCTATTAATTTGTTATTGATTTTTTCAATTACATGTTCTGTACGTGCAGAGTCTTGGAGATGGCTGTTTTTTCCTATTTGTTGCCATGACTACTATTGACTTCTGTAAAACCTCCTTATGTAATGTGTTAGTCATAACCATAGTGATGGTTGGCAACTATCTAATAATTTGTTCTGCTTACAATAAAAGGAGCTTGTATGTGTAATTTCTGTAGTTCTTTGTAGATTATAAGATGTGATTTAATTTTTTCCTTTTCATTTGCATTCTTGCTGAGGGTTCAATTCTGAGACTAACCCTTTCTGTGAATTGAGCAGCATGTTCCTAGAATTAATGGGGAAATTCCTTCAGTTGATGAAGCAGCTTCTGATCATGAAAGGCTGCTTAACAGGTATCCTCTAAGAAATTTGTACTTTCAAGAAGCTGTTCAGTACTATAAGAGGAACCTACGGGGTCATGGTCTTCTTAAGCATACTCTCTCATTACTGTATTTCTGCATATCACAGCTAGATATAGCTTTCCTCATGTCATACTAAGTCGGTATTGCTATAAGAAGAATGCTAGTATTATATCATTGTGCTGGATATACAAGTTCCCTGTACAGTACACTATTAAATAGACTGATTTCAGCTATTACAACTGATGAAGGAATGTCTTCTAAATTCAGATTGCAAGTGTATGACTTTGTTGAACGAAAGGTTCAAGGTGATGGCAATTGTCAAGTTCGTTGTTCCCAGCTCTTTCTCTCTCTCTCTCTTGTAATTCAGATTCATTTTACATCATGGACATATCATGATATCAATCCTTTTTCTTTCTGTATTTTTTGTCAGTTTCGTGCATTATCTGATCAACTATATGGAACACCCGACAATCACGAATTGGTGAGACAAAAAGTTGTAAATCAGGTTTGTCATCCTGGACAACAGAAACACAATCCTTAATACGAATTAGTTTGTTATCTTGCATTTTTCCCACAACTATAGATCTTTGATTTGTTTGTTTTCTTGCCAAAAGCTTATGTCACATCCAGAGATTTATGAGGGATATGTTCCGATGGCATATGATGAGTACTTGGAGAAGATGTCCAGGTTCTAATCTAGCTTTATCTTTCATTTCTTTTCCTTTTTCTACCTTACTTTCTTTCCAAATATCATCTTAACCTTTATTTACTTCTATGAAGCAGGAACGGCGAATGGGGTGATCATGTAACATTACAGGCAGCCGTGGATTCGGTATGGTCTACATAAACTTCCTTGCCTTTTGTTATGCTATCAATCAATTCCTAGATAAATTGCTTTGGTATCTTATGGGGATTGAAGGTGACGATAATATCTTATCACCCTTCCACAAATGAAATCAATCCCGCCACTCTTCTTTCTATCGCTCCAAGACTAAAATTTGAAGTACTAAGCTTAATCAATCAATGAAGTTAGTTACATGTGAACTTCATCCTTGTCTTATCATCATCAACATCATCTTCTAATGCAGTACGGTGTACGAATATTTGTTATAACTTCTTTCAAGGATACCTGCTGCGTAGAGATTCTTCCCAATTCTCAAAAGACAAAAGGAGGTAAATTTATACCTATTTGCAGTAATGACTGATGACATTTTTTCCTGCTCCAACAGCTATTTCTTTCCTCATTATGGTTGGATATTCTTGTATTTAATCTTATCGTTAGCTTCTTTTTGAACTATTCCCGTCTCTCTGTTTTTTCTTCATAGCAATGTTACATTGATGCTGCAATGAAAACTATTGTCTCATCATTTTCCTCTTCAATGGCAGGAGCCACAGAACATTATCTTGTCCCTCAGTTTTATTCCCCTTTCTTCATTTTCTTTATTAGTTTATCTGCATTGAATACTTGGCTCGGGCCCTGTTTTTATTTTTTACTTTTCCAATGATTTTTATGGCCTTTGACTATGGTGTTATACCGTACTTTGCAGTAATTTTCTTGAGTTTTTGGGCAGAGGTGCATTACAACTCAATCCATCCTCAGGGAGGTAAATGGTGTTCTATTCTGCATTGTGTTTGACGTTGCTTGAAATAAGGGTCTGATGAATTGCTAAGCCTAGAAAATGGGACAAGGAGGAAAGAAAAGAAACTTCCACAACTTAGTCCGTAACCCAACTTAGTTTGGCTAAAGGAAACTTTTCCTTTAGCCAAACTAAGTTGGGTTACGGACTAAGTTGCGTTTCCTTTAGCCAAACTAAGTTGTGTTACGGACTAAGTTGTGGAACTTGTCAAACCATGAACCCTTCAAAATTTTTTAGAACGTTTGATTTGGCAAAGCCTATATATGATATCGGTGATATTAGGTCCTAACCACAGTACTCCACATGATATATATATACATATTTTTTAGTTCAACATGAGGGGATGTGGATTCGAACTTTTGACCTTTTGGTCGAAAATACATGCCTTAACGAATTGATCTATCCTCAAGTTGCTACTCCACATGATAATTTTATTCAAACATCTCAAACTCTTACTATCAGAGTTGACAATATAAAATATGTATTTTATCGAAACTTGAAATAGGCAAAGAAAATCACTTAAATTTTCAAGTCCTCAGATTCGTAATTAGTTGTATGGTTGAGCTTTAACTTTGGCTCAACTTGATCTCCATGATTAAAATTTATGCTTTGTTGTTTTGATATACATTCAGGTATGCCATCAGCTGGAGATTCCCCACCCAGTGAGTTGAGAAAGAAGAAAAAATGGTGGAAATTTGGAAATAAGCATTGAAAAGCGCTGCTGCCTCAGATTCCCTAACTTTTTGCTGCTTCAAATGCAATCCTTTGTTAGGATTCACAATCACCAATATTGGCTAATGTTCACATGCCTTAGAATTATTTTATGACAAAAACTCATTCACTTTTCCTTCCTTATTTTATTCCCCCATAACGTTTAAGCAGGGCTGTCTGCATGTGGTTTTTTTGTAGTTGTATACTGTTTGGCCCAATTGGTTGGTATCTTGAGGGAGAAACCGATTATAATATGTCATTCTTTTGACAGAAATCCAATGCATTGAGAATCTTTACTCTCTGAAAGCATCATGTTTTCTTCTTGACCTCAGATAATGGCAAATAAATGGACCTTTGTCTTCATCACTGGAAATCGTTTGTCAGAATTACAGCGATGAAGAAAAATCAGTCGCTGTTGCTGTATGCGCACGATGGCATCTTTGAATGTATTGGGATTGTCTCAAATATGTGTTTGAAATGGCTCACATAAGCCATTCTTTTCACAATAGCATTCGCCATATTGGCTCTTTTAAAAGGCAACACAACTCTTCTGGGCCTCAAATTCCTTCTTGTGTTGCTCAAGTTCGAGATAACTTTTAACTTTTTCGTCAGCAATCCTTGGTTTATAGGACATTACCTCTTTGGAGAATTGTATCTTAACACCAAAAAACTGTTTCCTCAACGAGCTGAAATCTTATCGATGCCATTTCCCAATCCCGGAACTAAGACCCTGTTCTATGAAGGCTCCCTGTCAAGGAAGGATATATTCTATCATCAGGCTTAATGCCTGCTGCTTTCATTTCATCGTACAATCTAAAAGCTTCATTGGCTCTGCCATCCTTGGACAACCCGGATATCATCGCTGCATAAGTAACTACGTTTCTACTTAATCCTTGCTGTGGCATCTCGTTGAACAGTTCCAGTGCGGTATCCACGTTCCCACGAATGCATTCCCCATTTATAAGTGATGTATATGTAAATGTATCTGGCATTAACCCCCTTTCTTGCATCTCATTTTTGAGCTTGTATGCCTCCTCCATCTTTCTCTTCTTGCCATAGCCTTCAATGAAAGTATTGTACGTAACAACATTTGGTACCTCACCCTTCTTCTCCATCTCCTTCAACAGCCTCTTCGCTTCTGCAAAATTTCCTTCTTTGCAGTAAATGTCAATCAAAATACTGAAGCTCACTGCATTTGGAGCCACTCCCCTTTCTTCCATTGTGAGCAATAATCTCCTCGCTTCCTCTCGCCGATTCGATCTGCAAAAGCCACTTGCAATTATGTTATAAGTAAACACATCGATCTCCAATCCTTTTTGCTGCATGATCTCCTGCAACCTCAGAGCTTCATCAATCATCCCCTTTTTGCAGTACCCATCTATCAACGTATTGAATAGCACTTGATTTACATCAATCCCTTGGCTTTGCATATCATTTACCAGTATCTCAGCTGCCTCCATCAGCCCTGCCTTACACGCACCATTTATAAGAGCCCCATAAGTGTAAGAATTTGGAACAAGCCCTCTCTCAGTCATTTCATCAAACAGAGCAAAGGCCCTCTTCATGTTCCCAGAATTACAGTTCCAGTTTATAATCGAGGTGTAAACATAAACATCAGGCTCTATATTTTTCTTAAGCATTTCATCAAACAGCTTCTCTGCTTCCTCAATTTTCCCGCTTCTTGAATACCATTCAATCAAAATTGTATATGTTGCTGCATTATAATCCACACCATCCTTCTCCATCAAGCTAAGAATCTCATTTACACTACACATATCCTTCCTTTCAGTATAAGCATTCAAAAGAGTATTATATGTGAAAACATTGGGCTTAATCCCTTTGCCAACCAGTTCATCCATCAAAGTCTTAGCCCTTTCAACATCCCCCTTCCTACACAACCCATCAATCACAATCGTCAATGAATAAACAGTGATTTCCACGCCCGAATCGACCATTTTACGCAAGAGTTCTAAAGATAATTCCACATTAACAGACCTTTTCAAAGCAAGCAAAAACACAAAACAGGATCTCTCCTCAATCTCCAATCCGTTATTTTTCGCATAATCAAAAACACCCAAAGCCGAATCGAACATTCTGTTATCCACATATACCCTAAATAACATATCACACAATTTATCAACAAATTTAGGCTCATTGAACTCACTCCCAATCGAAGCAACAATCCGCTCAGTAGTGCTTCGGAGATTTTCATCGTTGGCGATAAAGTTCAACACATTTTTCATTACGGCGAACTTCCGAGCTCCATACAACCTAGAGACGAGGATTAAATGCGCCCGAAGATCGGGTTTGTGAGAAGGGTTGCTTCGGAGGAAGTTGAAAAAACTCAAACAAGACTGAGTCGGAACATTTGGATTGGACAAAACCAAGTGGGTTATCTGAGTATCAAGATTCGAAAGCAGCGATGGCGTCGTTTTGAAGGGTTTAAGGCCAGATTTCACGATTAGCTTGCAAATGTTCGTGGCAATCGCCTGATTCGACATCGGAGTGAGGAAAATTGGGTTGTGCGCCTTATTTTGAAGATCTTCTGATATGAAATTTAGGGCAAAAATTGAATCGAATCTGCGAGGAGCTCTCGTTCATCAAACTGAGTCAATCGAGCTGAACGAGTTGAGGACGCGAGTTTTGGCGGGTACGTTTGGGACTACGGCCGTTATCTGCTTACGACATGTCGTTTTTCCGCATACGATGTGTCGTTCAATGTTTTTTTTTTCTTTTCTCCTTTATTTAGTTTCACATGTGTGAATTTAATCACCCGACCTTTTAGTTAATGATCTATGTTTTAATTAGTTAAATTTTGTTTAGATTTACATCAATCTTGTTTTGATGCGATTTTATGATATGAACTACAATATGAAATTGTATAAATAGAAAATTTTATTCTATAAAATGATAAAAGAAGATAAATATTTTATAGATGGATTATACCTTATTTTGGTATTCATCTGGAAAAAACTTAAAATCACACATATTAATGGAGAATTATAATGGAAGGTAAATAATGTTCGACAATAATCCATCTTTTTGTGATTTTTGCTATTATTTTACGCCATATTTATTTATGTACAATTACTCCTATGAATTGCTATGTATATAACATGAATTTCTTCCTCTTTTTTGCCGATCTAAGTATAACTTCGGTAGGGAATGAACCCACAATTATTATTTACCTCGGATAAATACATAACTTAACCTATTTATTCATTATTAATATTGACAAAGAAATCAGTGGGATTATTTATTTATTTATTTTTGGGAAGAAAAGAGCATGGGAATTTATTTTTGGGTTGAAATTGAGCACGAGTGCACGTGTGCCCATAATAATTGTTTGGGAGAGCGTGTGCCACTTGAAATTCGTCACTTCTAACTTTATGTCGCCCAAATCTAGGTTTTATATGTACACATGCACACAATTTCACAATTATACCTCAATATTATCAATATGTTTAGTATATTAAGGAAAAAAAATCTTGTCTGAATCATATATTATATATATATATATATATATATATAGATGGAGGTGAAACTAATATTTATTAATTATGTCAATTCGTTGTAGTTATAAGTATTGATATCAATACAACTTATTGGTTTGTATCATGTTAGCGTATAAGACAGAAGGATCTATGTAGTTATTGGTTAAAATTTAACGTTTAATAAATTTGTGCACATAAAAAAAGAAGAAAAAAAAGCAATAATTAAGATAAGTGAATTTAGTTTACGAGACTTCTTTTGCTCCTTTCACCAAATTTCAGGAAAAAATAATTTTAGATCAACTTTGTACCTTTAACTTGCCCATATGATAACGATTATTAGGAATATAAAAACTAATACAACATTACATATAATTACAAGTAAATAAACGGGAGGAGATGAAGATTACGTCCACRTGGTGAGGGTTATAAAAGAGGTAGAGATACTTTAACCACCAAACTATATTCAAGTGATTTTAAAACTACTTTAGAAAATGTTGATTTTATGATTGATTTAATTTACATTTTGTAACATTTAGAAGTTTTCTTTCCAGAATCATTATTATATTTTTAGAATATAACATTACAATCCGAAATGTCTTAACCACTTAAACTAAGCTTGATAGCTTGTCTATTGAATCCAATTAAGCATTGGCATAAATATTTTTGATGAATAAACTTAAATGTTTATATAGTACAACAATTAATAGCTCTGCAAAGTAATTTTGGAAAATTAGGACACCCGCCATTAATGATTGGTGAAAGGGAAAAAAAAATGGAGAGGT